TTGAGCTTTATGAGAGCTTTTAATTATACTATACCTGTGTTTAGCCAACAAAGCAATCTACATGTATTTACTAAACGTCTTTCACTTTTCAAGACAGGTGCCTTTGGTTTTTGTTATTTTAATAACTCTTCTAAAATAATCATAATTATTATTATACAGTACTAGTTATTATTATTTACTAATATTATATTAATTAATATATTTTTATTATCAGATAGAGCATCGTAGTTTGACGTTAGGGGAAGTCCTAGATGGAGACAGGATGGCAGTCTCTCTGTACGATATCCAGTTCAATAAGTCAGTCCCTCACGCTGAACTCTGTACACTGGTACTTACTGCTAACGACATTGCTAAACTACAAGAAGCAGTCGAGGATCTTTATTACTTTGAATTTGTATTTGGTAAGCGAAGGAATATATTTAATTTAGTAGATGTAATGTACATGTAGTTAACGAATTATTTCCATTTCTTGTTCCTCCTCTCTCTCTCTCTCTCTCTCTCTCCCTCTTATCAAAAGATGATCTACTGATGAGAGGGTTCGTGGGTCACTTGGAAGAGGGTGCGTTCCTACCGCACAACCATCGTACCTACCTCTGGACCCACTTGCACTTCTCGTTTGGTTACAGTGGACAGGAGGTCGTTGAAGCTAATGTTAGTACAATAGGAGCAACGGCCTACAGTCTTGATGATACTGAACCACCGGTTAAAGTTACCTTTACTTATAGTGTGTCATGGAGCAAATCATTGTAAGAAATAGAAGTGTTAGAGTTGTGTTTTGTGAAGTTGTTAATTTGTTGTATAGTGTATGTACATGTATGTATATACAAATTTGAAAGTTATTTAAGAATGAGCCAATTTTCGAAAAAAGCAAAGGCTATTCAAAGGCCCATGGTTTTTTCCAAAAAATGGCTCCAAAATCACTCCAAAATTTCGTTGCATTTTCTGATACATATTGATGCCCTTATGCTCTGTAGAAAGTTTGAGCCGATTCCGAGCTCAAATTCTGGAGTTATGAGCACTTTTTATAAACTAGCAAATTTTGAAAGAAAGCGTGGGCTATAGCCCATGCTTTTTTCCCAAAAATGGCTCCGAAATCACCCCAAATTTTTATTACATTTTCTGATACATATTGATGTACATATGCTGTGTAGAAAGTTTGAGCCGATTTCGAGTTCAAATTCTGAAGTTATGAGCACTTTTTAAAACTAGCAAAATCTTGAAAAAAAGCATGGACTATAGCCCATGGTTTTTCTGAAAAATGGCTCCGAAATCATCCCCAAATTTTATTACATTTTCTGATACATATTGATGTACTTATGCTGTGTAGAAAGTTTGAGCCAATTCCGAGCTCAAATTCTGGAGTTATGAGCACTTTTTTTAAAACTAGCAAATCTTGAAAAAGTATGGACTATTATAGCTCATGGTTTTTTCTGAAAAATGGCTCCGAAATCACCCCAAATTTTTATTACATTTTCTGATGCATATTGATGTACTTATGCTGTGTAGAAAGTTTGAGCCGATTCCGAGCTCAAATTCTGGAGTTATGAGCACTTTTTTAAATACTAGCAAATTTTGAAAAAAAGCATGGGCTATTATACCCCATGGTTTTTCCCCAAAAATGGCTCCGAAATCACCCCAACTTTTTATTACATTTTCTGATACATATTGGTGCCCTTATGCTGTGCAAAAATTTTGAGCTGATTCTGACAAATTTTTTTTAAGTTATGAGCATTTTTAAAAATTATTACTGTTGGTTTGTATTATCAACTCAAACTGTATTTGCTGAAAGTGATTATGAATTTTAAAAAAACATTAAAAATTATTATTTCTACTTGCTAGGAGGAGTTATCATGACCGTAATAAAGAATTAAAAGTATTTTTTCCGAAATCAATGGAGGTAAGCACATGTACATGTACTGTACACTTTTAATTATTTATAAATATTTTCTTTAGATTCACTGGCTTTCCGTTATCAATTCAGTTGTTCTGGTTTGTCTCCTCTTAGGATTTGTGACAATAATTCTGGTGAGATGCAGTGCCACTGTTACATGTACATGTACATGTACTACAAATGTATTTTGGTGAATTAATTTTTAGCAAATAAAATTTTGACTTTTCATTATACTGAAATTTTGACAACAATTCGCCAAAATTTTGTCTTTAATTTTTATAGCTACATAATAATAGTACACATACATGCTTGTACATGTACATGTATGTATTTGTTCTACAATTATTGGATTATTGCTTGCCCTGTTATTTTACATTTGTAGATGAGGGTCCTTCACAATGATTTTGCCAGATACAATGTTAGCGATGATGATCCTGATGACTTGAGTAAGCAAAAATTATTTATTTATTATTTTATTTATTTATTTATTATTTTATTTATTTATTATTAATTTTATTTATTTATTATTAATTTTATTTATTTATTATTAATTTTATTTATTTACATTTATTTATTTATTTATTTATGATTCTTCTTCAGGAGATCAAGATAATTACGGTTGGAAGATTATCAGTACTGACGTGTTTAGATTCCCACAAAACAAAGGATTGCTAAGCTCCATAATAGGTTCAGTAGACTTCACAATTAGCACACACACACACGCGCGCGCACAGACTTGTACATGTACATACATGTAATCTCTTCTCTCTTCTCTTTGCAGGTGTTGGCACTCAGTTTATAACACTCTCTCTTGCTATAATTCTAATGGCCCTGTTAGGATTGTTTAACGTCCACAGGTATGAGAAAATATTATGAAACATGCATGTACATGTACAACTGGATCTCTCATTCACTTCCTCCTTCATTTCTTTCTATCCTTACTCTTTATATTATGTTGATTTTTCTCCTTTTTTATACATGTATATTGTATCAGGGTTTCCCATAAAGCATGCTAAGTGAGCTAAACAGCATGAGCTTCATGAGCTGGCAGGCACTGCAATACAGTACATGGCATTTGGAACAACTTTAAAAATTCATAAAAAATCCAAACTTGATCGGAATCAGCTCAAACTTGATATACAACATAAGGACATGTATATGTATCAGGAAAAAATATAAAAATGAAGAATTCTCTCCTTGTGATTTTTGACGAAATTTGGCCAAAGACCCAAGGCTATAACCTTTGGTCGTTGGCCTGATTTTTGAGCAACTATAAAAATTCATAAAAAATCCAAACTTGATCGGAATCAGCTCAAATTTTCTGCACAACATAAGAACATGTATATACATCAGAAAAAAAATTTTAAATGAAGAATTCTTTCTTTGTGATTTTTGACGAAATTTGGCCAAAAACCCAAGGCTATAGCCTTTGGTCGTTGGCCTGATTTTTGAGCAAATTTAAAAATTCATAAAAAATCCAAATTTGATCGGAATCAGCTCAAACTTGATATACAACATAAGGACATGTATATGTATCAGAAAAAAATATAAAAATGAAGAATTCTCTCCTTGTGATTTTTGGCAAAATACCCTGTACCATAGTACAGGGTTTTAAGCCAACTTAGCAATCCATTGACAAGAAGCTGCATGCATGAACATATGCCTAAATCCTGTGGGAAACCCTGCAGTGAACATGTACACATTGTATTACCTCTTTCTTCCTCTTCCCCTCCAGGCATCATGCCATGAATTCAACTAGTATATTACTTTATGCCCTCACGTCCTTCATTGCTGGACTAGTCTCTACTAACTTCTATAGGAAGATTAATGGAGAGAGCTGGGTCTGGAACATCATACTTACGTCATCTCTGTTTGCCTGTAAACATCCTCTCCCTCTCTTACTCTCTCTCCTTTTTTATTTTTATTAATCTTCTCTCTCTCTCTCTCTCTCTCTCTCTCTTTCTCTCCAGTTCCTTTCTTTCTTACATGGAGTACAGTTAATTCTGTTGCCTGGTATCATGGCTCCACTCAAGCTCTTCCATTCACTACAATAGTACTCATCATGTTCATGTGGCTCATTGGTAAGAGAGAGGAGAGACATAAGAGTATAATAGCACCCTCTATTCATTTCATTTGTATTTAAGGAGACAATTATTAGCGTGTACTTATTTTAGCGATTTTCACGAAACTGACATTTGGCTGGTACTTAATTTAGCGTTTTTGATCATTTGGTATTAATAACTTTTAGAAGAATGAAAGGGGCGAGCCTAAGCAAGCTATAGATTACGTGCTGTGATCTACATGTATGAGCAAGCAAAGCAATTGCACAAGTCTAAATACACTAATACAGTAGATCTTGTTGCATTAATCTTGCTTAAATTGCTTCATCACTGACTCTGCACCATTAACATGTAAAGTTATCTTGCTTACAGTTAGAAGCAGTCACTGAACGAAAAAGATTGTCATCTGCTTTGTTAACCTAGGCTAACTGCTAGAGAAGCCTTTGGACAGCAGTTTAGTATTATCTTGCTG